TAAACATGAATTCTATAATTCAATTTAAAAGAAAGAGCATATAATACTTTACCCAATCCACATAATTCGACTCAAGCGATCAGCCAATTAATTTTTAAAATCAAATAGATCGAATTAAAGATAATATAAAGGAATAGTATAGCTCGAATTCTACATAACTAAGGATTAGCACAATCGACCATCATGATCATATAATTTAACTCAAGTTTACTATCAAGAGATAAGATTAAATAAATTAGTCATATAAATGTCAATCCAATGAGATGCTCAAGATCCCAACATATACGAAGCACACCCATTTAAACAAACTCTCAACAATTGTAAAATTGAAAGAAAGGACATATCATACCTTGCTAAATTCAGTTTTACTTCAAGCATCACATAATATGAACTACTCTTTATATCTCATAGTGCAAGTATATATATAACTCACTAAGATCAACTAAACATATCACAATCGAATATAAAGACAAGTCTATATAAAATTCGAATCCTCTACTTTAAATATTAGATCAGATAATTTCGAATAACAATAAATCTAACCTCGTATGACGGCCAGGAGCTGGAGGAGTGGTCACGAATGCCTTCAACGATAATCAGGAATCCAGTGTACTAAACACTGCCCTGATACCAACTTGTAACACCCTCCATGTCATTTATATAATTAAGAACAGTTTTTAGAAAAATGGGCTTTATTAGAAACCTTCGGATCCTAATTGATCCTTTAGAAAATAAGTTTGGAAATCGTCAAAGCGTTTTTCTTTCTTCAAAACATAACCCACTCTTGAAATATATAATTTTCATAAAGAGTGCTACTTAAACATAAACGGGGTTTTAAAGCAATACTCGTAATACAGCTGAAGATAAAGTAACTTTATTTTACATATTCCCCGGTTTAATAGACTAGATTCCTAAATTATAGTACATTACAAATGTATTTATCAACTTCTCAATTTAAACACTTTAAAAATGGAATGAATCATATAATCTTTGAAAACAATCGGTTGGCATAAAGGCTCGTGATTCCTCGAACTCCGCTCCACCAACCTCCATGACCAGTTTTAGAACCTCAACCTCGATATGGTCGTAGAGTTTCCCCGTTTAACATGCACTCACAAAGTGTACTCACATATACAAAATGTTGTATTAACATGGGGATGCAACGACTCAATAGCTGTAGTACATATAGACATAAAATCCCTATTGTCTGTATTAACAAATGTAAACACATAGATGCAATATGACGGGATCCCTATCAGATTCATAACATGAGTATCGGTAATAGACGTCGATATTCTGAGCCCGTTTTTAGTGGGAGCTACCCACTCTATTGTCTATCGTACCGTAGTTGGAATACCGGCCCCTCCGTATTTTCGTGTCTACTCGACCGATAGTCATATTAAGATTCTGACTTCCCTATACTGACCATGCAATATCATAAATGACAAATCATATAAACAATTCAAAACACATAAATAAACATTCTCATACTTTATGTCAACCCAATTACTATAATGTGACGGTATCCCTATCAGATTCATAACATGATTATCGGTAATAGACGTCGATATTCTGAGCCCGTTTTTAGGGGAGCTACCCACTCTACAATCTATAGTACCGTAGTTGGAATACCGGCCCCTCCGTATTCTCGTGTCTACTCGACCGATAACCATATTAAGATTTTGACTTTCCTATACTCGACCATGCAATACCATAAATGACAAATCATGCAACTCCAATAATATAACCATGTTAGATCAAACTTGCACTTAGCATAAAACGCGTAACCATATAACACATAACCAAATAGCTAACAAACGTATTCAAACCATTTTCTCCTTTAGAGTTTCTTCTTCAAATAACTCACATAATCAATTCAAATTGCATAAATAAACATTCTTATAATTCACATATATTATGCAACGTACACGTACCACATACAAGAGGTATCACATACAAGAGAAGGGGATTATCATATTATTTCATATAACCACTTTCATAGTTATAACATACCAACGTGATTATCTTAAATGCATCATTCATGCGTTTTCTAGGTTATACATTTATTTTAACATATAAGCATACGATAATCATAATAGCACATACGCACATTAAAGAGATTTGCTGTAATGTTCATTATTATTTATTAAGAATGATATTGTACATAATATATACAAAAGAGTCCCACTAATCTAGTTTGTACAATAGGAAACTAAATCAATGTAATTACTGTAATGGGGAGAGAATTATGTCATTACTGATTATGCTCTATCAAGGAATATTATGTTCCTGATTTTGTGCTCTATCATGCCCCCGCAAGCGCAAGGGTCCGGGAAGGACACTAAGCTTGGACCGATGAATTAGAAACAACTTCCGAGAAAGAGGTTTTGTAAGGGAGTCCGCAAGCTGGTCTGTTGTATGAACATGGGAGATGCGAAGCCTTTTTTGAGAAACTTGATCACGTACAAAATGAAAGTCGATTGCAATGTGCTTCATTCGTGAATGGAAAACAGGATTGGAGCATAAGTAAGTAGCTCCAATGTTATCACAATAAATTGTTGGAGCAGCTTGTAAGGAGAGAGATAGTTTACGAAGTAAATTCGTGATCCACATTACTTCAGCAGTGGCAGCAGCTATGGCACGATATTCTGCCTCGGTGGATGACCGTGCAATGGTCGATTGTTTCTTGGAGCTCCAACTAATGGGATTTGAGCCGAGGAAGACAACATAGGCTGATGTTGAGTGTCGGGTGTCGGCATCACCAGCCCAGTCTGCATCGGCAAAAGCATGAAGTGCTAGAGGAGAGCTGGCAGCAATGAAAATACCATAATGGGACGTGCCCTTTAGATATCGAAGAACTCGTTTAACAGCAAGCCAATGATTCTCGGTTGGTCGATGCATAAATTAAGCTAGCTTATTGACTGCATAACTAACATCCGGTCTGGTAAGAGAGAGGTATTGAAGTGAACCAAGCACTTGGCGATACTCTTTTGGATCATGGCTAGATGAGCTGTCGTAAAGTTTGAGTGTCTCAGAAGGAGACAATGGAGTGTGGACTTCTTTGGCTTCATGCATATTAGTGCGTCTAAGAAGATCACTAATATATTTTTGTTGAGATAGGAACATGCCCCGGGAGGTTCGAGATGTTTCAACTCCTAAGAAATAGCTGAGATTCCCGAGATCCTTAAGAGAAAACCGATTAGAGAGCCGAGTAGTGAAGGTAGAAATTGTAGATGGATGATTGCCGGTGATAACTATATCATCCACGTACACAAGCAAGTACATGATTCTCGCCCCCGTAGTATAAATAAAGAGAGAAGTATCACTCTTTGAGTTTGCGAAACCATAATCATGAAGAAAAGAGCGAAGCTCATTGTACCACGCCCGAGGAGCTTGACGAAGACCATATATGGCTTTATGCAGTTTACATACATGTGAAGGATAGTGAGAGTTGATGAAGCCTTGAGGTTGTTGCATATAAACAGATTCAGAAAGAGTACCTTGCAAGAAAGCATTATTAACATCCAATTGTTTCAAAATCCACCCACGAGTCACAACAATAGTAAGAACAAGGCGAATAGTAGCTGGTTTAACAACTGGACTGAAAGTTTCGGTAAAATCAATACCAGGTCTTTGGTGAAATCCCTTAGCCACAAGACGGGCTTTGTAGCGAGCAATAGAACCATCCATATTTCTTTTAATTCTATAGACCCATTTACATCCAACAATGTTCTGTGTAGGGGAGGAGGGTACAAGGGTCCAAGTTTTATTTTTTGTAAGGGCTAGAAACTCTTCGCTCATGGCTTCACGCCAATGAGAGTGTGAGTTCGCTTGGGTAAATGAGGTTGGTTCTGTTTCGAGTAGAGACGGAATCGTAGTTGTATGAAGAGAGAAATGTTTTTTTGGTTTGTGAATATTATTTTTGGCACAAGTGATTATGTGGGATGGTTGAATTGGTGGAGGGGGAGGGGAATTATTTGGTGCAGTGGGCTGATCCGAGATGGTAATATTTTGGCATGGGGTAGAGTAGCTGGTGGTACATTCACCTGGGGTATGAGTTGCAGTAGTACGGGTGGGATTAAGAGAACTTATGGGTGAGGGTGGAGAACTAGTTACCTGTGGTGGAGATGATCGAGGAGCAGCCGTGGGAGAAGACGAAGTAGAGACAACTTGTTGAGAAGAACATCTTCGAGATGGTGTAGGGAGCAAGTATGGTTCATGAGAGGGTGGAATGACAGAATCCGAAGGGTCACATGGGGGTGCTGTTGCTTTGTCGACATTCTTGTCTGTGAAGGTAGATAGGTATTTGGAAAAACTGTGGCTTGAGATATATAAGTCAGGATATGATTTATCTTTGTAAGGAAAGACGTGCTCAAAGAAGACAACATGTCGAGAGATGAAGAGCCGATTCGACTTAATATCAAAACAAAGAAATGAGTGGTGAGAAAGAGAAAAACCAAGATACACACATGGACGGGAGCGGGGTTCAAGTTTGTGGCTGTTGTATGGTCGAAGCTATGGATAACAAAGGCAGCCAAAAACTCGAAGTGAAGTATATTTTGGTATGTGACCAAATAATTTTTGGTAAGGTGTATCGTAGTTGAGTACGGGTGTAGGCATACGATTGATAAGATAAATGGCATTTTGGAAAGCATGAGACCAGAATCGTAAGGGTATGGCAACATTGTGGAGTAGCGTGAGGCCGGTTTCCACTATATGACGATGTTTACGTTCAGCGGAGCCAACATGCTCAGGTGTATAAGGTGGAGATGTGAGATGTTGGATACCTTGTGTAGATAAAAGGTGAGCAAGAGCTTTGTACTCACCACCACCATTTGTGTATATGGTTTTAATTTTGGAGTGAAAGAAATTTTCAATCAACTTGCTAAATTTTTCAAAAACACTAAATACATCGGATTTGGACTTTAGAGGATAAAACCATGTGTATTTAGTGAAATAATCAATAAAAATAACATAGTATCGGTAATTGCCAAAAGAGATCACTGGAGAAAGTCCCCAAACATCTGAATAAATAATTTGAAATGGTGCATTACAGCTAATGGAAGAACTTTTGAAAGATAGTTTATGACTTTTGTTACACATACAAGAGTCACACACTTTATCAAAAGAAAGCACAGAAGAGGGAATTTTATTATTTGTTAGAATCCTTTTTTGGATGGAACGAGAGGGATGACCAAGACGTTGGTGCCATAACTGAGAGGAAAGAGCAATAGAGGTAGAAGGAGTGAGGGTGGATGGACTCGTTTTTGAAGATGACCATTCGTACAAGTTATGTCTACTCCGGCCTTTCGCCAAGGATGCCCTCGTATTCAAATCCTTCACAAGAAAATAGTTAGCAAAAAATTCAATGGAAACATTATTTTGTTTGCAAAATTGGGAAACAGATATCAAGTTCTTCTTTATTAATGGAGCACACAGAACATTGTTTAATGCAAAAGAGGAACCATGAGAATTAATTGAACTAGAACCAATATGAGAGATAGGAATTTCATTACCATTGCCGACAACCACGTCTTCATTTCCAACATAGTTTGAGTGCATCGAGAGATTCTGGAGATCGGAAGTGATATGGTGCGTGGCACCTGAATCGAGCACCCAATTCTTATTGTTATGGGTTGTGTCTCGTTCAGCTAGATTTGCCTGTGGTCGAGATAACTGAGAAGATGGTTGTCCACGAGAGTAACAAGTTTTTGCACTGTGTCCCGGTTTATCACAGAGTTGACAAACAATGCGATGTTGGCTTTGATTTCCCTGATAAGAGTTTGAATTCCATGAGGAAAAATGTGGTTGAAAATTTGATGAGCGTATACCTCGTCCAGAAGAAGGTTGTTGTTGGCGATTAAAATGCATGTAGCTGGGAGTGTTATGTGAGTTGTGTGATGAGCTATTGTTACCACCACGATGTCCTCCGCGAGTACCACGATTTTTATACATAGCCTGTTTTTGAGTGAATTGTGCAGTGATTTGTACTTCTTCGTCCTTTAATTCTCCATTATTACGAATCAGTTCCTCGTCGAGTAATTTATCATAGAGGTCCTCAAACGAGAGTGGAGTGTCGCGAACACGAACGGCTGCAGTGAGTTCTTTAAACCCATCACCCAGACCATTTCAGGCATAGGACATGACTTGAGAGTCATTTAGAGGGTGTCCAATAAGAGCTAAGTCGTCAACGAGGCTCTTTACCCTGCTCATATAGGCAGCAACGGTCTTCCCTTCTTTTTTGTTTGTCATGAGGGATGACATAATAGAGAGCATCCTTGTATTGGAACGATTAGCAAAACTCGTTTCCAATTTGTTCCAAGCATCAGCAGAAGTGGTGCAATTGTTGATCGTCGGGCTGATTGTGCTATTAACCGTGGCCTGGATGCTGAGGAGCACAAGACGATCTTGACGAGTCCAATAAATATATTCTGGATTGATTGGCAGCGGGCATGGATGTGTTCCATCAACGAAGCCAAGAAGTCCATAACCGAAGAGAAGATTGGTCATTTGCGACTTCCAAGAAGCATAATTTACCCCATTCTTTGCAAGTTTGAATGGAATCTGGGAAGAGGCATTAAGAGATATTAGATTTCCACCGTTAGAAAATGAATCACCTTGAGTCGTCATTTGTGGAGTTGTTGACACAAGAGTAGGTTCTGCAGAAATGGTTTGGGGAGGTATTGTTGTATTTAGTGGTGTTTGATTTTCCATTGTAGTTGTAATGGAGACTAAGTAGGTGGGCAAAGGATCAAACTCTATTCAATTGATAGAGAGAGCTCTGATACCATAGAGAGATTTGCTGTAATGTTCATTATTATTTATTAAGAATGATAGTGTACATAATATATACAAAAGAGTCCCACTAATCTAGTTTGTACAATAGGAAACTAAATCAATGTAATTACTGTAATGGGGAGAGAATTATGTCATTACTGATTATGCTCTATCAAGGAATATTATGTTCCTGATTTTGTGCTCTATCACACATAATATATAAAATTCAAATCCACATACTCTATTCCAAAGAACTACAAGGAAATCTGGCAGCTTCGGTACTTCAACTTTGAAAACTCATATCTCTTAAACTGTACATACAAACATTCTGAAATTTCCACAAAACGTTCACATATATGTGATTAATACCATATTAAAACAGTTCAGTAAAATACTTATCCATGGGAGAGAAATAATTCATTTAGTGCAGTAACACCAGCAGAATTTCAGAACAGAGCACTCAACTTAAAAAATACCAAATAAATCATTCTTTCAACCAAACACCATCAAATTTCTCGGAGAATCAGATTTATAAGTCTATGATCATATCCAGTGAGAATCGCATGAATCGGAATGAGATAAAATATAATTTAACACATAAATCATAGATGACTCAGAAATCATGCAGTTTCGGAAAACGGTTCATAACTTGATCAATATAATTCCAAATTACGCATACCTTATATCAGAATGAATCTAACAGAAATATCTACACGCCCAATTAATTTCATAATTTTCGGAAAATAAATCATCGATGAAACATGCACTGGAATCTGAGGCTACGAATCTGGAAATCGAATTAGGGTTCATTGAAATCTATATTTGATGACCTAAATCCCTAAATCCGATTCCTAAGCATATTAATCAATTAAAACACATAAACATCATCTTATTATTATCATTAATTCAGTAAGGACCAAAAGTCCTTACCTCTTTGAAGAAAATCGAAGACAAAGGGAAAGAGTAAACCGAAGGATTTTGGTGCTGAACTTGGAGGCTATGGAGTGGCTGCTTTTCTGAAGTTCTTAGTTGAGAAATCATTGATTTATTTGTAGTTGTATACTTGTACTGGAGACAAATCAATATAATCAAAATTCAATATCATTATTAGCATAGATTAATTATTCAATTAAAGCACATAATTCGTTTAATCACATAAATAAAATTACTTAATCACCTAATCAAATCGAGTCGACCGCACATTTAATCAAATATTATGAATCACATAAACAGTTAGGATGCAATAAACATTCACTTGTTAAATCATGAAATGGAAATTATCGATTTACTCAATATAATTTCATATAATATGCTTATGAAAATGCGGGGCGTTACAAAATTAACTGCACCTGTCAGACGTAGAAATGCTATATTTTGCAGATGACCCTCTTGTGCTTATATCTTACCTTTAATTTTGCACATGATCCTCTTGAAGTTTGACACGCGCAATTAAGTTTAACGGAAAAACTAACGGACGTTAGGGCATCTCCAACGGTAGGCCTTAAAAATGGGGCATCAAACACTCTTTTTGGGTCTGGTACAGTGTTTTGGGGCCTCTATTAAAGTTTTTTACTCCAGTGCAAAAACCCCAAATTGGACCATCGTTTTTAATTTAATGTAAAAAAACCCTTGGAAGTTCCCTCCAAATTTTAGCTCCCCACTTTTCAGACCCCATATTTGATGGCAAAGGAAAGGGAGTCCCAAAATGGGGTCTGGTTTGATGGCTCCCTTGAAAGCGTTTTTTCAGACTCCAGCCATGAAACTGGCGGTTATTTCATTTGGGGCCTCATTTGATGGTAGCGTTGGAGATGCCCTTACATCTATCAACCATAAAAGAGTAGTGTGTTGATATTACGAGCACAAATGAATCATTTGCAAAAACTTGTAACAACATGGGGATTAAGTGCAATTTACCCTAAAAAAACATATATGTATTTTTTTTTAAATTTATATAACACAATCCTATGTTTTTTTATATTTACAGGTTATCCACATTTACCTTGTCCTGTTTTTTGGGATATGAACATTTTCCTGTGTCCGTTTCCACACATTTTGCTGATTCCACATTCCCGTCTCTCATGTCTGTGCAACATATGTTTTTTTTGTTTCAATCAGTTTAATTTCATGATTTTGTTTTACAAATATATATGTGCATTTTACATTTGAAACCACAAAAAGGAAAACACATCAACGGCATCGTCTTTTACAAAAGTTCATGGTAAAACCAATTACTCCAAATTAAAAAAAAAAAAAAAAAAAAAAAAAAAAAAAGAACAAAACGAAAAAAATTTTACAGGAGAAGCAAACCAACAAGAACCCTGAAGAAAAAAAAAAACTGTAAATCTTGAGGCGAAAAGCTTAAGAATTTGAAGGTTCTCGTAAGGTATGCTTATGAAAGGCCTTGTGGCATCCGCAGGCGGCACATTCTATTGCCGCCTCCTCTTGTCTTTGACGGTGAGCTGTTGGCAACCGTCCACCGTATAGGAGTTCGTAAAATCATGGACTCTCATACAACTTTCATACACAACCTCTGTTTTATATATATATATATATAATAATGTAAATACTTGATATATATTTGATAAAATTATAATACTTTTTCAATAAAGAAAGAATGTCATGCTAGGGGAATCATTCTTAATGTGAGAGGTAGAATAAATAAAAAATAATGGATTAATCCCATTTTGCACCCTTGAAATATAGTTTTTTGGTGTTTTGCCCCTCGGAAAAATATTAGAGCACTTTACATCCTCGAAACACAATGAATCATGCATAATGCACTTCAAATGAATTTTAAAGCTAATGAAGGTAATTTAATATCTTTATTGGTTTTTTTTAGGAAGCCAAATGTCATACTTTTTGTTTATTCATCAGCCTTTCAAAATTGCAAATTGCAAAATATAAATACATCTCATTAACATATTAAAAAAATTAACAAAAAATATTTTACAAAAAAAAAAAATTATCCTTCTGTTTAGTTATCAAGTTATTTAAAAATTAGATTTTCTTCCAAAGATTTCTACCACATACTTTTACTAATTACAATAAAATATCGATCAATGGTATAATTTAGTGAGATTTTATTTCTTTGTAAGAAATGTAGTTTTTTCAGTATTTTTTGTGATTATATATTTTTATTTTTTTTTTGCCTTTTGTAGGCTTGAAATGTTGGGTGGATAAAAATAACAATTTAATTTGTTATTTTAAACCCTGGAAATAAAAATAAATCATTAAAAATAAAATTAGCTTCATTAAGTTTTAAATATTAATTTCATGGTGTTATGCTTTGAGGGTGCAAAATACTATTTTCCAAGGTGCAAACTGCTAAAATGACACATTTCAAGATTGCAAAGTGGGATTAAGCCAAAAAATAATTGTGAAGGTGACTACAATGGGATAGATTCATTTTAAATCCTTGAATCCAAACGCAGTCACGGATAGGGGTGTAAACGAGCCGAGCTCGCCTTATTTCGTGAGCTCGAGCTCGAGCTCGCCAAGGCTCGAGCTCGGGCTCGAGCTCGAGGAGCCTATAAGTTTTAGCTCGAGCTCGAGCTCCTTGTGTTTCTAAGGAGCTCGAGCTCGCGCTCGAGCTCGTATACGAAACGAGCCCGAGCTCGAGCTCGAGCTCAAACTCGGCACAACCAAAAATCCATCCATCAAATTTATTTTTTCAATTACAAAAATAATATTATTCTTTTTTTATTTATTATTAATAATATCTATTATTATATATTATTAATATGTATTAAAAAATATAGAGAAAATGTAAAGCTCGCGAGCCTGCTCGCGATCTGTCGAACAACTGAAATGAAGCTCCAGCTCGACTCGTCGAAAAGCTCGGGCTCGTGAGCTCGAGCTCGAGCTCGATTTTTCGAGCTCGATTACGAGCTTTTTTCGAGCGAGCTTCGAAAGCTCGCGAGCCGACTCGTCTCATTTACACCCCTAGTCACGGACGAATCCACCTTGTCTAGAGTAGACTCCACCCACTCTTACTTTTGTTTTATACATAATTAAAATCCATCATAAATGCTTGTTTAAAAAGTTTGAATATGTTAGGGGTCTGACTTGCATTGAGAGAGATATTTACCTTAATTTGATCTGCTACTTTGAGATATTTGGTTTAATTAAAGAGAGTTGGTATCCAGTTACTAACGTAGTTTGGTTAGGATTGCCATATAAAATTGAGCTCATGATGACAACTAGAGTTGGACATTAATGAAATTAAAAATAAAAATTGAGCCAAAAAAATGAATTTCAAATGAAAAAATAAGAAAAATTAAGGTAAGAAAATGAGGCACATATAAGATTTCAACCCTTATATACATAGCCAATAGAGAGGTAAAAAGTTCAAAAAAATGGCAAATCCTATAATAAATGTTTGTACCAAGAAACTCAATAGGTGACATCAACATATTTAAACGGAATGCAAACGGTTAGAATGTATTTGGCAATGTTGTAAGTACCGGACCGGACCGGCCGGTCGGACCGGTTCGACCGCGACCTGGCGATGAGGCAGTCCGGTTCGGGCTTCAAATCCGGGAAAATCTAAAATCGGGGTCAAATGATCGAAACCCTGTTCAACAGGGTAAAATTCGGAAACCGGCGAACCGGTTAATGATCTCGGTCCTAAAGGCTGTTCGTGGCCAGATCTGGGCGGCGGTGAGTTGAATCCGGTGGTCGGAGGCCGGAGGTGGACGGATCTCCGCTGAAAAGACGGTGAGGTGGGCAGATATGAGCGGTCGTGGGCTGAATTCGGTGGTCGAAGGCCGGAAATGGAGAAATAAATTGGAGAAAATTGAGAAAAAGAAAGAGAACATGAGGGCATCTCCAATGGAGTAAGCAAATCGGGTTTC